AATAGTCAAATATCATCAAAACCAGACAAGGCAGAATCCCAGCTCGCGACAAAATTTCCCCCTCTGAAATGAAAAGAAAAAGGAAATAAAAAATAAACCTTAGAAATCAAATTAATAAACAAAACAAGGGGTGCGTAGATAATTGTAGTTACAAGTACCCCCACCCACTTTACAAAAGCCAGTTTCGTGGAAGTACCCTTCTCCTTAATTCGCCACCATTTTTGTTTTGTTTTGTTTTTCTCACTTAATAGTGTCCAATTAATCTCTCCCTTGGAAATCCCAACCCAATAAAGTTCTCTCATATTTCTCAAGTTCATGCACCACCCTCCCCCACCTTCCTCTCTCCTTCTCTCTACCTCTTTCTCTCTCTCTATCACACACACACACATATAATATGTATATATATATAAGCCACAACTATCCCTTTCTAATTAATCTCATTCACTCAATATCTCTCTAGAGTCTAGTCTCTACACACACACCAAAACCAAGCAATGAACAACAACAACATTAACAACTATTACATGACTACGAGGCCTTGCTCTTCTTCCGCTTCTTCAACCTCGGACTCTTCCTCGTCCGATCAGTCGACGCCGACGAGAGGCAATAACAGTGGGCCCAAGCCGGACCGGATCAAGGGCCCATGGAGCACCGAGGAGGACCAGATCCTCACCCGTCTGGTGGAGCGCTACGGCCCGAGGAACTGGTCCCTCATTAGCCGCTACATCAAGGGGCGGTCCGGGAAGTCGTGCCGGCTCCGGTGGTGCAACCAGCTGAGCCCGACCGTCGAGCACCGCCCCTTCTCCTCCGCCGAGGACGAGACCATCATGGCGGCGCACGCACGCTACGGCAACCGGTGGGCCACCATTGCCAGGCTGCTGCCGGGGAGGACGGACAACGCCGTCAAGAACCACTGGAACTCCACGCTCAAGAGGAGGGCCGTGGGGGACGCGTACTCCCCACAGAATAGTAATTTGGAGGGTGGTTGTTGTGGAATCGGTGGGGCGTCGACGAGTGCCGGACCGGTACTGCCGGAGGAGGACCCGTTGACCGCGTTGACCCTTGCGCCGCCGGGGATAATGGCGGCGGAGAGGCGGACGGAGAGTGTGCCGGATGGGTTTTGGGATGTGATGAAGGGTGTGATTGCAAGGGAAGTTAGAGAGTATGTGAGTTCCGCGTTTTCTGATAATATTTCGGGGTTCCATTCAAATAGTTAATAATTATTAATCCTAAATGGTTTTTTTTTTTTCCTTTCATTAATTTTTTTCTTAAAAAAAAAAAAAAAAAA